CATCTCTTCTAACGAAGCTCCTGCACAGATACCTCCTCAAGCACGCTACTCACTGAACGTGTCTTCTGAGCAAGCTTCTCGCCACATGGCATCTCCAGCACCAGACTGTCTTTAATATAATATATTTTATATAAGAAAACCACCACCTTAGAGTTTCCATCAACCCCATCCTGAGTGCTAGACAACATAATATCACGAAATAAGAACTCGTTAATAAGTAGACGAAGAATTAAGACCTTTAAAAGTTTTGGTAATTATCTATAAATGACTCCTGGAAAATTTTATTCAATAAAGTCACCATACAGGTTTATAATTGGTTTGGTATGTATCGAATATAGAGACCATGTAGGCATACAATTTAACATGTTTTTTAGACTTTAGAGAATGCAGGTATACAGTTTTCAATGCTGTTTATCCAATTCTTTAAATATAGGTTTGGTTTTTGGTATCGGTCATAAGATCTGGCGTAATTATGACCCATTGACCTTTTTTTATCATATTTGCCACTTACTAACCACTTGGGCGCTCTATCCATTGTTAGTGCAGAAAGAAACCGGGGACCGGGAAACCTATGGTGTTTGGTAGGTCACACTTCACACGTGTCAGGGACGAGGCTCGAACCCTTGACAAACTGGTGAGAGTTATATGCGTTGCCGCTGTACCACCAACGCCCTCGGGATATTGTAGTGGATTCGAGGGAAGCACAACGTTCATCGCCCCCACACACCGTTTTTTTTTCCCTCAGGTACTCCCTGCTACTGTCCTGCACCCTGCTGCTGTCGTGGACCCAGCTGCTGTCACGCACCTGCTGCTGTCATAGACCCTCTTCCTGACGCAGCCCCTACTCCTGACCTAGACCCACACACCCCAGCAGGCGCATCTGAGGACTCTGTACCTGTCGCGAGGAAAGCACAACATTCATCGCCACCACACACCCTTTTTCTCCCTCTCTTCTCCCACAGATCTCATGTGTCTAGACAATTGTCTACCCTAGCGGCCGGCTCATCCACGCCCTCTACGTAATGTCTCACATGTGGCATGCACCGCCCGTTCTGCCTCACATGTGCCATGCAACCCTGCAGACAACAAGTCTCCTACACCGCCTGGAGGGAAGGGGGAGTATTGAAGTGGATTCCTCCCCTACAAACACTGCTTGTCGCTGACGAGCCGACCCACGAATCCAGCCGCACCTTGTGTCTAGGTCAACCAGCGCCACCTTACACGACTGAGGTCAACTATTAAGCCACGCCTACCCCAGCTAGATAAGACCTGACCTCATGGTGACCTACCTCTCTCTTCCTACAGCCAGTCTTCAAGTAACACCACCTCCACCGCTCCTGCCTGGCGGCCCTCGCTCCCGCCGGCGAGCATGGCGACCCACAAGCTGGTCCTCCTCTGAGCATCCTCACCAACCAGCTCTCCCTACTCACGCTTGTAACCACGCTGCCTCCTCCCAGCACCAGCCACCAAGCTGCATTGTACATTCAATACAATATGTATACAGAGAGCACATTGTGAGTTTCCTTTCTCCATCCCAACCTGAGTGTGAACCAATATCTCGTACCCCACAAATGGTGACCCCCGGAAATTAGCACTCACACAGGATGGAGGAGAAACTGATCACTCTCCCAGTCTTCAAGCAACATGGAAGACTGGCTTATCCACACAGAGGCAGATCTCATCGGCTCTACAGCTACTGTCTCTTCACCGCAGGTTAGACACCCTAGAGCAGCACTGCTTCTCTAAGCAGACACCAGCTCCTCTTCCTGCCCCAAGCACCACGTCCTAACGACCCCAGCAGGCGCATCTAAGGACTCTGTACCTGTCGCGAGGGAAGCACAACGTTCATCGCCCCCATACACCGTTTTTTTCCCTCAGGCACTCCCTGCTACTGTCCTGCACCCTGCTGCTGTCGTAGACCCTGCTGCTGGCATGCACCGCCCGTTCTGCATCACAAGTGCCATGCAACCCTGCAGACAACAAGTCTCCTACACCGCCTGGAGGGAAGGGGGGTATTGTAGTGGATTCCTCCCCTACAAACGCTGTTTTCGCTGACGAGCCGACCCACGAATCCAGCCATCCAGCCGCACCTCGTGTCTAGGTCAACCAGCGCCGCCTTACACGACTGAGGTCAACTATTAAGCCACGCCTACCCCCGCTATATAAGACCTGACCTCGTGGTGACCTACCTCTTTCTACCTACAGCCAGTCTTCAAGTAACACCACCTCCACCGCTCCGGCCTGGCGGTCCTCGCTCCAGCCGGCGAGCATGGCGACCCACAAGCTGGTCCTCCTCTCAGCACCCTCACCAACCAGCTCTCCCTACCCACGCTTGTAACCACGCTGCCTCCTCCCAGCACCAACCACCAAGCTGCATTGTACACCCAATACAATATGTATACAGAGAGCACATTGTGAGTTTTCTTTCTCCATCCCATCCTGAGAGTGAACCAAATAACCCGTACCCCACAATATCTATCAATTATAAGTTATTAGATAAATAAACAGAATTAATCTGCACAGACAGAATATAACGTAAATAAAAAATAATATATTTCTTTGGTTACAATACGAAAGTGTAAGATTAACTTTTGAGAACCTAGAGTTTAAAAAAAGTGGGATTTTGAGGGTGTAGTGGATTCCTCCCCTACAAACTCTTGTCGCTGAGTAGCCGACCCCGCGAATTCCCCAGTGTATGCCTCGTGGTCTAGGTCAACCAGCGCTGCCTTACATGACGGAGGTCAACTATTAAGCCACGCCTACTTCCGCTATATAACACCTGACCTCGTGGTGACCTACCTCTCTTTCTACCTACAGCCAGTCTTCAATCAACACCTCCTCCTCCTCCTCCTGCCTGGCGGCCCTCGCTCCCGCCAGCGACCATGGCGACCCACAAGCTGGTCCTCCTCTGAGCATCCTCACCAACCAGCTCTCTCTACATCACGCTTGTAACCACGCTGCCACTTCCCAGCACCAAGCGGCACTGCACATCCAATACAATATGTATACAGAGAGCACATTGTGAGTTTCCTTTCTCCATCCCATCCTGAGTGTGAACCAACAACTCGTACCTCACAAATGGTGACCCCGGAGTGATGCACTCACACAGGATGGAGGAGAAACATCTCATACTCCACAAATGGTGACTCCCGGAGATTGCACTCACACAGGATGGAGGAGAAACCGATCACTCTCCCATTCTTCAAGCAACATGGAATACTGGCTTATCCACACAGAGGCAGCTCTCATCGGCTCTACAGCTACTGTCTCTACACCGCAGGTTAGACACCCTAGAGCAGCACTGCTTCTTTAAGCAGACACCAGCTCCTCTTCCTGACCCCAGCACACCCGTCCTGCCTCAGACGCCGCCCCCGGCTCAGCAGTACCCCCTGACACTGTCCTGGACCCTCCTCCTGACGCGGACCCTCCTCCGCTCCTGCCTGGCAGCCCCTGCTCCCGACGCGGCCCATGCGCCTGAGTGCGACCCACACACCCCTCTTTTCTTCCTCAGGTACCCCCTGCTGCTGTCATGCACCCTGCTGCTGTCATGGACACTCTTCCTAACGCAGTCCCTGCTCCTGATCCAGGTCCACACACCCCAGCAGGCGCATCTGAGGACTCTGTACCTGTCGCGAGGGAAGCACAACATTCACCGCCTCCACAACCCTCCTTCTCCCTCTTTTCTCCCACCAAACTGGTGCCTGCACTTCGGCACCTCAGCTACCCTGAGAGATTGGAGCGCCTGAACTTGCCTAGCTTATACTACAGACGGGCAAGGGGGACCTAGTTGAGGTGTATAAGCATCTCAGGGGGCACTACTCAGTTGAGTGTCCTTACTTGGAGCTGGCGGACGCTCGCCCCACAAGGGGTCACAGCTCAAGATTGAAGAAGCCGCAAGTCCAGAAAACCGTGAGGGCAAACTTTTTCGGAGTGAGGGTTGTAAACTCTTGGAACAATCTACCAGAGAGTGTTGTGACGGCACCGAGTGTGAGCTCTTTCAAGACCAGACTTGACCAACACTGGAGCGGGTTCAGGTACATTCAGGAGCCGGTGCATGCCCAGTATTTGCCAACAGTGCGTGACAGAGACGTGACCGATCGCCCGGGCGGCTAGCGAGCCGATCTTTTGGTGAAGAATATAAATGAAAAGAGACGTTACCGATCGCCCAAGCGGCTAACAAGCCGATCAGTGGCGAAGAGGATAAAAGTAAAAAGTAAAAAGATCTCGTATATCTAGACAGAGTTGCCCCCCCTAGCGGCCGGCTCATCCACGCCCTCGCCGTTATGCCTCACATGTGCCATGCAATCCTGCAGACAACAAGTCTCCTACACCGCCTGGAGGGAAGGAGGAGTATTGTAGTGGATTCCTCCCCTACAAACGCTTGTCGCTGAGTAGCCGACCCCGCGAATTCCCCAGTGTATGCCTCAGTGTATGCCTCGTGGTCTAGGTCAACCAGTGCCGCCTTACATGACGGAGGTCAACTATTAAGCCACGCCTACCTCCGCTATATAAGACCTGACCTCGTGGTGACCTACCTCTCTTTCTACCTACAGCCAGTCTTCAATCAACACCTCCTCCTCCTCCACCGGCCTGGCGGCCCTCGCTACCAGCCAGCGGCCATGGCGACCCACAAGCTGGTCCTCCTCTGAGCACCCTCACCAACCAGCTCTCTCTACATCACGCTTGTAACCACGCTGCCACTTCCCAGCACCAAGCGGCACTGTACATCCAATACAACATGTATACAGAGAGCACATTGTGAGTTTCCTTTCTCCATCCCATCCTGAGTGTGAACCAAATATAACGTACCCCACAAGGGGCTTTGTCGAGAAATGGTAACACATAATTTTTTTAACTGTTTCGTGTAGAAAACATGACATTAATTCATCTTCTGTAATCAATGAATTTTAAATAAAGTAAATCCGGAGTAAATTCACAGAAATTTATTTTTAACATAATCAACCAAGAAAAAAAAGTAGTTTTCATAAAATTCGCCAGATGGCAGCACGTTACGGACCAACGTTATAAGTAAACCACTTAAATCATTTATTAAAGTTTGTGTACTATAATAGACAATAATAACTAACAAAACCTGATATAAAATAATTACTATAGGGTCGTGAAGTTACGTTTGGTATATATTATATGTTTATTTATTTTAAATTAATTTGGCAGTTGCGCTAGTGAATATTAACTAACATTGACCAACTTGTTGATGTGATAACAGTGGTTCATTATTGACTTGACAATGCCACATTAGTTTTCTATTTTTACTTTGCCTACTTGTTTATAGACTCTAACATTAACTGACTCAGCTTCATCACTCCAGTCCGAAGATTTGTAAGCAAACATTGCACGGGATTTAAAGAGAAGTGTTCCAAGACGAAGGTAAGTAGATATACATATATGTATTAGTGACAGTGTCTTATAAGTTCACACTGGCTCATCATGTTCATAGACAGTGTTAGTATACAAAACTGGTGAACAAAAATTTAATTCTAACAAGGATAGCTAAAGAAAGTAGTTAAAATATTTCCAGTGGGTGATAAATAACTATTGACCTATATGGGGTGTGCCCATTTCGTCACCAACCTGTTTCATCACCACATTTTTTATCCATTTCGTCACCACTGGTTTTATCCGTTTCATCACCGCATTCATTCCCATCACCATTTCAATGACAATATATTCCAGACAATTCTTACATAATTAATACATCAATATACACACGAAAATTTCACTAAATTTGGTAAATTTGCATTGTCACACCGTTCACTTTTAGTGTGTAAAAAATATATTTTTCTAGTGTATTTGTGTGTGTTTAGACCGAATATGACTTTCATTTTTGGCGGAAATTAGCCATTTTTTTGCGATTTTTTTGTTTGACGTTTTCCGAAAAAAAGTGGCTAAGCGACTAAAAAATACACAAAAAAACACTAGAAAAACCAAAACCTAACCTAACCTAACCTAACTGACTCTCACCTTATGCTGGAATCACCTATTTCTTACCTTATTGGCCTGGTTCTTGTTCGTTGTTGCATTCTGGGATTCTTACCCAACGCCACATGTGTTGGTCTTTGTGATATTTACATTCCGTCTTGCTCTTAGTACACTTTACTGAGGTTGGAAGAACACCATGCGATCGAAAAAATGCTATAGTTTCTACATTTTTTTTCCAAAACTCGCAATCAGCTCCATATACTTTAAGTGACATCCATCGCAGACTTCCGTGGTCGGAACTGAACTTGAATTTCAAAATATGAGAGACCCAAAATAAAACTCGATTTTGATTGGACCAAATATACTCTGAATTAGCAAAAACGCTTTTGATTGGCCATGTGACATGCACGGGTACGCATGCGCGTCATGATTTATGAAGGAGACGCGAGAGACACGCAGTGTTGGGTGAGAGGCAGACGATAACGGCAGAAAATATAAATTTATTTGGAAAAGCTATCTCCGTTTTTATACATTTCTGCCGGTAATGTAACAGATGAAAATTATCTTATAATTAGATGTCTTATTCGAATATGATAATAGATTAGTGGTAGGAATGAACGGTGTGTAAACGCAATAATACCCTAAATTTGCCAAAATAACTGTTGCGTGGGATAGAAAATAATTAAAACACAGTGTTTACGAAATTGTATTATGAAATTATTCCTCAGCATAACAATACATTGGAGGATGCAAGCACCTCACTAAGACAATTTATTAAAGACTAAAACGAAACAAAAATTAAAACATTGTTATTACTCATGCAAGCTTGAAAGAAGATGCTGACAATTTGTTAGGAAATTAGAAGTGGTGATATTTTTTTTCTTCATATTCATCCCACAGCTTCCAGAGACGGACTTGTTTGTTATGATTTGCTTTTCTTATGCACGATTTTAGCTTTTACTCAGCAGCTATTTGTAATTGCAAATCAATGAAGTAGAAGAAGAAATCACCTTCATTTGTTCTGTATTTTGTTTATTTACCAATGTTTTAATCGTTTTCTTTATTAAATAATTAATATTCATGTATAATAATAACACAATAATTCTCGTATTGTCTGTATATATGTGTAATTTCTATTTGTGTAAAATAATAACTTACAATTTGTCACTCTAATACCAGTTACTAACGGTCTGTTAGTGGTGACGAAACGGATTTGATGTTGGTGACAAAATGGTTTTTTTTGGTGATGAACCGGGTTGGTGACGAGATGGGATGTATTCATCTATACAGTATATGTTTTTGGTAATGTATGAGAATACTGCTACCACCAGAAGGAGTTGTTCGATTTCGTTTATTTTTCCACAGATGTTCTAAACATTATACTGGTAATAACTTTATTAAAAGAGGTGACATTTACTAGAACCTAATACTGTTGAACCTTATATTCTCCTCTAACTCCACCTTAGACGATTCCAACTCTATCCCTCCTGCTCTTACTGAACCTATGCACTTTCGTGTAATCTCCACTCGTAGGGTTGCTGGTGTGTTATCCAGGTTGGATGTGAGTAAGGCGCATGAACCGGAGGAAATACCCCCTCGTGTTCTGAGGGAATGTGCTGAAGCCCTGGCCCCTGTGCTTGCTCACCTCTTTCGCCTTTGCCTCAAAATCCAAGCTTTTCCTTCTTCTTGGAAGCATGCCTCGGTTCAGCCCATCCTGAAGAAGTGTGACCATTCTAATCCCTCTAACTATCGCCCCATTACCCTAACTTCACCCCTCTCTAAGATTTTCGTAACTATCTTAAACTTTCATTTTCTCCGTCACCTTGAACATAATTAACATTTCTAGATTCCTTGCAGGTCAGGGAATATTTTGAATGTAAACTTCATATATTTTGCACAAACGATAAAATATTTGCTTTGTGCAAACCAAATTATTACATTAGATCTAAAATTTGTATGTCTAATGCAAAATCCATGATGTTTATATTCAAAATGATCATCATATTGTAAGAATTCCAGCAATGTAAATTATATTCTGGCAGGGTAATTTGTAAGAATTTTATGAGCCAAAAAAAATATATATATATTATACTTCACTGCGCGTATATGAGTAGATGCACCGCGGAAAGTGAAAGTCCGGTTCTGGCAAGGTACCGCGGAAAGTGAAACCGTGTAAAGCGGGGTACTACTGTACTGTACAGGTACTCTTCGACTTACGACCTACTCGACTTAAGACCACCCTGACATACGACTGCCTCAGTCATATAAAACATTTTTCAAATTACGTATTTTCGAGTCCTGACGCTAGTGATCGCGCTGTGTACTGACAAAATTTGCGTTTGTATTTCTCTTTAAAATGGCTGGCAAGCTTAAAAGTGAGAGTTCTCGTGGTGCTGAGAAGAAAAAGAGACACCCATTTTAGATTTTTTATGTATTATTTTTGCATTTTCGACTTACGACCAATTCGACTTACCACCTGGTCGTTGGTCCCTAACTCCATCGTAAGTCGAGGACTGACTGTATTCTGTCCTGTACAGTATACTGTACTTATCCTTTTCATCTGCATTTTGATATGTGATACGAATGGGAGATTTCTTTTTCACTAGTTTATTAGTAGACTTGTGGATAATATTTCTTTCATTTCTTTACAGCTCGTTCCTGAAGAATGCCAGTATGACATCTGTACAAAATGAAAAACTTTTAGACTTTCTGGAGAGCCTGAACATCACTAAAAATCAAGTGTGTGAAGATGAACTTACTTCAACTGTAACTTATGTTGTTAAGGCCTGTCATGTGCCTCCACTTCAGAACCCAAATGTGCCTTACACTGCATCAGACTTTGAGAGTGTTGCTAATAATGCTGAAATTCAACTCAGTGTTATTTTAAGAATACTTGATAGGATATATTCTGCCAAGAAGGGAGGGCAGAAATTTTCTCCTGTGTTTACAAGAAATGTTGTGGTCAGTTGTTTTCTTGTTGCATGTGAATACATTGATGAGAATTGGGAATGGGGAAGTAAGAAAACAGCCAATACATCAGAAAGTGTCATGAATAAGTTATGTGAAGTTTGCAACTGTAGATCTGTACAAACATTTCTCACTCACACATCAACTGATACTGCAGGTCGCTCAAGTACTGAAAATGATATGAATGCTGTTGAAAAAGAAAAGGAAGTTTTCTACTTAAAATACATTCTACAAAGACTGAGTGAAATGTTGAACAAAAATAACTGGAAAATATATCCTGCTTTGAAGATGTCATACGTGTGGATTCTGCATAACATAAGAGTAAGTGCAGTCAAGTATACTAGGGGTAGAAATTCACCCTTTTCTTCAGGTAGCCGGCCAGGCTAATAGAACTGAATAGTTACTAGCCCTTCCAAAATTTTACTACACATTAAAAAAAAAAAAAAATTCATGGTTCACTTATACTGGGTAGGCCTATTTAGAAAATTGTTTACTTGGATGCTTTATTTACCTAAATAGCAAAAGGTAAATTATATTCAAATTGAAAACACTGGCATGCACAACATATTATTATAATATGGATAATCTGTTTCCTTGTTTACTTTACAGGTGCTCCTCTACTTAAGAACGTTCAACTTACAAACTTTCAGAGATACAAACATCATCACTGTGGGAGGGGGGGGGGGTTACCTGCCAGAACAGGTGTTTAATGTGGACGAGACTGGATTATTTTGAAGAAAATCCAGATAGAACAAACATTACCTAAGAGGAGAAGAGTGAGCCAGGTTTTAAGGCTGTATTAAAGGGTATAGCTGTACTGTACTAAATATCCACAATCTTTTAATTTTTTTACTATATGTTTGGTATCTACAAGAGTAAAGTTGGACTTACAAACAAGCCTCAGGAACGTAACTCGTTCGTAAGTAGAGGAGCACCTGTATATTATTAGCTGAAAATTAATTTTTTTTAAGATCCTCTTAAAAACTACTGTACTGTATGTAGATGCAACTGAAGACTTTCTTCTTCACTGGATTTGGTCAATAAGTTTCTGTATACAGTATGCTCCTCATCCAATTCTTCGATATCGTCCAGCACTTCCTCTGTGTTGCAGCCATCTGTGTGGTTATACCCATCAACATGGCGTGCCCCAGTTGTTAAAAATTGTTGATGACTTGCTCTGGATTGAAGTTGCTAACACATTCTGGCTGCAACTGGAACACTAGGAGATCTGTCAATTGGTCATCGGTGAGACGACTGCGCCAGTCCATCTTGATGAGCTTGACCTGACTGAAGCCAAATTCAGCATCAGCAGAACTGGTTGGAATGGACAGCAGAAGGTCAACTAAATGGAGAAAGGAGCCACACTTTTCTCTGTATGATTCATTTATTTGCTGCCAGGACAGTTTTGAAACAGGTGATATCTTACTCATTTTGTACAGATAGCACTACATACCATTATGAGCAAAGCTCATAGCAGCCAGTCAAACTCCGCATATCACGATGTCTGGAATTATATGGATCGTGTTGATTGTTCATATTGACGCTGCTGCTCTAACTTTTTTTTTTTGCTTTTTGCTTGGTGGTGGATTATTATTCTTCCACATACCAAACAATCCCCTTTGGTGACTCATGATGATTAATAATAATGTCTGTTAGTTAGACATCACATCAATACTTTACATAGGTATTAGTTGCACTGAGATCGCCGACTCTCTGGGAGCAGCAGGGTGCAACAACCAAGTACGTGGGTTCACGTGTACAACACACATTTGCTCTTGCAATGCTTTATATAAACTTGGCACTAAGCACTTCCTTATGGTAAAGCAGAAGGTCAAAAACATAAATTTTTGTTCATAACTACTGGATAGCTCCTAGACACTGCGAGTCTGTCATGCTAGTCGCTTGCCGGGCGATTAAAAACCAGTAAATTTCTAAGATCTTTGTGCCCTTCTGATATATTGGTCGCCTTGGGCGTATGTGAATTTCTACCCCTGTTTAATACAGTAGTACCGGGTAGTATTATTCCAACATTCTCTGTATTATATACACATGTTTTTATATAAATTTCTGGCCAACTAGAAGGATCTCGTAATATGGACTACTTTCTTGGTCTTTTCAGTTTTTAGACCAGCACCTGTTTTGTTAGCCAAGAAATGATCTGTTTTTCTATTCCGTATACTGTATGACAAACACCCGTCTCCTTCCATCTCACTGTCTGTCTCAGATGAAGGGACTGGTTAGGCTAGTTGCTTCAAAAGGCTGATGGTCGGTCTCCTTAGAGCTGTGACTGTCCAATCAGCATTCTCTATATTAAGGCCACTTTCCTTTATTTTTTATTCTTGGTTAATCTGACTTTTTTTTTTTTTAAGTTCCTGAGTGGACATTCACAACAAACTGGCTCTTCCTTGTTGTACTTACAGTATATTCTGCAGATCTAATGAGCTGACATAGAGAACAAAATAGTAGCTATGTGCCAGTGACTTTGAAACTGATGAACCCCCACTGAGTTGAAAGAAACCTGCATGTTCCATTTCTGGGTATTTTAACTTATTTATTTATTTTTTATAAAGTAATCTGGGGTAGATCATTCAGGGAGTCTGTTAGATGGCTTGAATAAATTGTGGTGGATAAGCGAGTGTATTTTTTATGATAAAATTTGAAATCCGCGTATCTGCTAAATCTGAGGTACGTACACTCCTGCTAGTCATATTAAAATTGTATACTGTACAGTGTACAAGTTACTGTATTTGATAAGCAACTCCATGCATGCATATTTGCCCAAGAAGATTTGTTGTGTTCTGTCTATATTTAAAAAATATATACAGTATATATATCCACTGGGTGAATATGCAGTTAACTCCTAACCTTGAGATTCAAAGTAATGTTTTTGTTTTATTTTTATTTCACTGATAACACAGTACAATCTCACTCAGTACATGTCTATAGTTGTTATTAGAGTTAGGGATATGGAGTTGCTCTCTGAATGGGGGTTAGATGACAAGTACTATACCGTACATCTGTTGGATTCTGGAGGTTGATTCTTCAATGGATTTGTTTATTATGACAAATACTGTAATGACAAAATCCCAGTGTTGTTATATATATATATATATATATATATATATATATATATATATATATATATATATATATATATATATATATATATATATATATATATATATATATATATATATATATATATATATATATATATATATATATATATATATATATATATATATATATATATATATATATATATATATATATATATATATATATATATATATATATATATATATATATATATATATATATATATGATTTTACAAATGTATAACTGTGATGAATTTTCAGAGGGAGCATGTAGAAGAGCACCTGGTATACCTGCTACCTCCTGCACTTTTTATAGTGGATGACTGGGAACAGCAAAACAAAGTCCTAGGACTTAAGTGTCTTCATTATATATTAGAAATCACAGTAAGTATGATTTTAATACCTTAATATGTTGGAGTAATTATGTTTTAGAAAAATCACACAAGTAATTCAATTTCATGTAGATCCACAATGGAAACGTGGATAAGATAAATCTTGATAAAATCACACAGGAAAAAGGGAAACAATGGAGAACCTTAGCTTTCGTCTTTATTCAAGACATCTTCAGTTGCCTCTGAAGATGTCTTGAATAAAGACGAGAGCTAAGGTTTCCCTGTGTGATTTTATCAAATAATTCAATGTGCAGTTTTAAGATTTACCAACAACTTTAAAATGAATAATGTACTTTATTTATTTTTTTTCTGCCTTATTCATTCTTTGGGAGTAATTTTGAGGATCTTCATGCTGACCTATACTGTATAAGCACACTTCCCTCTACAAACATCTTAATACTGTGTACTGTACTCCCCCCTATATCTTTCCCTCCCAGGACAGTGTCACTGATCCAACTGTTGCATCACTGGGGTACTGTATAGTAACAGTGCCTGCCTAAGATGCCATTTACCATACTTTCCCCTTGCTTAATATTCTTCTGCTTTGCTTCTCACTTTTCTTTACATCTGATACTCTGCTGTACTACCATCTCACATTTATTTGACACAGCCAAACAACCTAAATATGTCTTACATACCATATCTTTTGGCCATTTTCTTAGTTGTTCAGAAGCTTGGTGAACACTTTGTGTGCTAGCTCCCCACACATGTGTTTCCGAGGCATCTCACACCAGTCATACACAGCATTGCTGCATACAACTGGTGTGACCTTGGAAACACATTTAAGAAACCATTCATGTGTGGGGAGCTAGCACACAAAGTGTTTACCAAGCTTCTGAACAACTAAGAAAATGGCTGTTTGACATTCTTAGTCCTTCTACTGTATATCTCCTATACTAACACCATGTATTTTCCTCAAATGACTTACAACAACCTAAATTGTAGAAACTTATACTGTACAGTGTGCTGTATTGCATGTCCATTTATTATTTCTGTGGGTGAATGTCTTATTGTTGGTTCTTTACATACATGGTTATACAGTGGTCCCTCGGTTAACGAACACAATTCGTTCCAGAAGGTCGTTCGTTAACCGAAAATTTCGTTAACTGAAACCATTGTTTCAATGGGATACAGTGAGTTCTGCTATAACACGTGTTTTGACAACGCGAATTGGCTCTAACGCGATTGATGAATAGAGGAACAATATTTGTAAAACGCGTTTGCTCTAACGTGATTCCACTCGAACGGTTGTTATGGCTTGGCGCTGGGTTATGCAGTGTTTACAGTTCACGTTCGACATCACATGTTCAATTGAGTTATGTGTTTTGTTTGTGAAGAATTGCAGAAATAATGTATGTATACAGTACAGTGAGTTCTGCTATAACGCGTGTTTTGACAAAGCGAATTGGCTCTAATGCGATTTATGAATAGAGGAACGATATTTGTAAAATGCAAACGCTTGTTTGCTGTAACGTGATTTTTGCTTACTATTTCTCCAATTTTGTGGTATTAACTGTGAATATGGTAAAGAAGAATATCTCCAAGAAGTGTTCTGGTGACCGCATTCCCGGTGATGATCGTAAAAGAAAGGCTATAACCCTTGAAGAGAAGCTCGATGTTATCAACCTCAAAATCACCCATTTATTTAGACTGTGCTATCCTTTGTGTTAGGCTAACTACTAAATTTTTTTCGATTTCGAGTAGTAATCTGCACCTAAACCTATTTTCTCCATAAGCCCTGTTATTTCTATTACGCGAATTTCTATAACACGATGTTTTACAAGAACACAACTATCGCGTTATAGCAGAACTGACTGTATTGGGTAATTGGTTCCAGCTCACAGAAAAGTACAGTACAGTGAACCCTCGCTTTACGCGGTTTCACTTTACGCATTTCTACATTTACGCGGTACCCTGCCAGAACCGGAATCCCACTTTACGCGGTGCATCTACTCATATACGCGGGTGAAGTATAATTTTTTTATTTAGCTCATAAAATTCATACAAATTATCCGGCCAGAATATAATTTACATTGCTGGAATTCTTACAATTTGATGATCATTTTGAATATAAGCATCATAGATTTTGCATTAGACATACAAATTTTAGATCTAATGCAAGTATTTTGTTTACTCAGAGCAAATATGTTATCTTTTGTGCAAAATATATGAAGTGTATATTCAAAATATTCCTGGTCTTGCAAGGAATCCAGCAATGTCAATTATATTATCCTAACTTTAGTCTGAGGTATTATTTATTACTAAAAATGTAAGTATACTGTTATAACCCAATCATTTCTCTGGTAGGGAGGGAAGGTGGGGGTGAGGGGTAGGGAGGGAGGGAGAGATCCAGGGAGCAGGTGGGAAGAGGGGGGGAGGTGGGGTATTTTGATTGACAGATAGTATTTCGGCAAGTATATTTTGTTGATTTATTGAAGATATTTGTTTTAGCTCATAAAATTCATACAAATTACCGGGCCAGAATATAATTTACATTGCTGGAATTCTTACAATTTGATGATCATTTTGAATATAAACATCATAGATTTTGCATTAGACATACAAATTTTAGATCTACTTTAAGTATTTTGTTTACTCTGAGTAAATATGTTATCTTTTGTGCAAAATATATGACATTTATATTCAAAATATTCCTAGTCTTACAAGGAATCCAGCAATGTCAATTATATTATCCTAACTTTAGTTTGAGGTATTATTTATTACTATACCTTAAAATCTAGTGGTTTTCCCCCAAACATTTCTCAGAGAGGGAAGAGCCAGGAGTGTGAGAAGAGGGGGAGGGAGTTGAGTCCATTATTTGAATGGACATTAACTTGGCGACTGTATTACTCTATTTTTCTTAAGTATTAATTGTGTGCATGTACCATCATAAAATTAAGATGCTATTTTTACTAGAACATAGGTATTGTGTCGGAAAAAGTGGAGTTTGGGGGTCTGCCGGTCTCTATTTCATTTTATCCCATATGTTATGTTGTTCACTTTATGCGTTTCTCGCTTTACGCGGGCCTCCGTGGGTTCAATTGACCGCGTAAAGTGAGGGTTCACTGTATATACAAAGTAAAGCCAGAATATAATTTACATTGCTGGAATTCTTATAAGATAGTGATTACAGCTAGTCCCCAACTTACGACGGGGTTAGGGACCCAAATCCAGGTCGTAAGTCGGAATGGTCGTAAGTCCGACATAGATAAAAAAATTAAATTTTATTTATTTATTTATTTTTTATTTTTATTTTTTTCAAAAAAAAAAATCTACAATGAAATACAGTACAGTAAAAGTAATAAATAATGAGGAATGGATACAGTGTGACTGAGCACTTACCTTTAATGTAGTCAGCTGAATGCACACGGGGCCCCCATAATTTTCTAATTATACATGGAGACTACATTAACTGGAAGAAGCAGAGGAGGAGACAGGGCTGGGTGGGTCATCAATGTCGCTTTCTTCAGACAGGTTTATGTACGGTGGAAACTTGCTGGTTGAAGGTATTGGATCATCTTGAGGGAGTGAAGAGGCAGCACTGGTGGGGCGTGAGGAGACAGCACTGGGGGACTTCTTGAAATAGATGTCCAATTTAGACTGCATAGTTTGCTTTTTCTTTTCATTATAAATTTTTCTGTAGCAAGCAAGTGCATCTTGGATCATTCTGTCAACTTTGGCATAACGCTCATAATTTTGATCCATGCCATCAAACATTTGCATCCCTTTATTAATTGTAGCAAATGCCTCTGCCATATGTTTCACTGAAAACTTTTTGGAGGGTGCAGGTCCTTCTTCTACATTTAGACTGGCTTCTTCCTCTGCATCTTTGTGTGCTTCCAGTTCGATGAGATCTTCGTTACTGAGCTCTTCTGCTACACTTTCAACCAACTGTTCAACATCTTCATTATCAATTTCTAACTGAAGCTGTTTACCTAACTCCACTATCTTGTTACTAATATCCGAAATAACTTCATTTTCATTAAATCCTCTAAAACTGTTCACATATCTTTTCAGGACTTTCTTCCATATTCCATTCATGCAATGTTTTGTAACCTGATCCCATGCTGCACTAATGTTCTTTATACATGACAAAACGTTGTACTCCTTCCAAAACTCTCTTGAGCGTTTTCTCACCTTCAGTAGCAGCAACAGCCTGAGCGAAGGTCGTACGTAAATAACACGCTTTAAAGGCAGCAATAGCACCTTGATCCATGGGTTGTGTATATGTTCTGGGTATCAAGTTCTATCTACAGGAGCAAACACAAACACCTGTAGAGATTTTGTAGGTTCTATTTACTGGACAAACAGAGATACACAAGCGAAATTGGGGGGTAGGGAGGGAGGGGTGACAGTGACATGTTTGACAGTTGGGGCCTGTGGTGTGAAGTATTTAATTGTTAATGTATGTCCTTTAGATTGAGTTTTTGTTTTTTTGCTTATAAAATTTAATAGAAGTGACCGGGGTGAATTTAATTTGCTTTGCTGGAATTCTTATAAGATAGTGATTAGTTTGAATGTAAACATAGAAGAGATCACTGAATTGGCTGAGTACCTCCTCAGCTTATCAGCTGATGTTCAAAACAAAATGTGATTTTCGTAAGGATTTCGTTAATCAAATTTTTTTTCGTTAACCGAATTGAAGATTCTTGTGGAAGGTAATTCGTTAACCAAGGCGTTCGTTAACCGACGGACCACTGTACTATTTTTTTTTCTTTGTCGGTTCAATTCCATTCTTCCTCTGTAACACACACTATCCCCCTTCGGTGCTGTATTTAGATACTGTACTGTACCTTTGATCCCAACTACCACCTTCTATTCCCCAGGCTAAGTTGTGACAAAGGATAGAGTTGAATGACAAATTTTTTCTAGAAGGTGATACAGGTATAAGCAGCTTCTCTTATAAAGTAAATAAATTTCATTAATATTTTAATTATTTTTAGCATGTTATAGATATAAAATATCTATATCCAGTAATATGATAATTTGATTTATATCTAATTTTTTATATTGCGTACTGACAGATACTGTAATGCCTTTGAAAAGGTCATCTGTAGGATTTTACCTAAATACTGTACAGACAATGTACTGTACTTGAGTTCTTTGAACTCAGTTCAGATATACAGAGTTAAAATTAATATAAGGGAGTAACAAAATACTTAATACCGTACTCTAATGAATAATTACTGTAGTATCATTCTGAGGATAGTGTGTGATTTAAAGTTTGGTGCAACAGACCACAAAATGTTGGTGTATCAAGAAAATACTTACGTGGCTAAGCAGTCAGAATTTTACTGTCATAATATTATTGATGTGGTACTGAAAACGTAACTTTTTTATAAGATATCTGTTTTATTCTCATTTTCCCTTAATTTAGACAGGCTCTGAACTCCGATGGTATGGACGAGCAGCAGTGATATATAATGCTCTTAAACCAATACTCCATTCAAGGGAGGCAGAGGTACTGGAGGTTTTATATCCAGCTATCATTAAAGTAGCTGTTGTCTTGGATTCAGACCCATCAAACACAGGACAGTTGAAAAATGTGAGTATTGTACATAACATTACAGTAGATTTTTTTGTGCTCAGGAGAACCTTTTAAAAGTGAAGCAATTGGTGTTCATAGTACTGTACTGTGGCTGTGTGGGGGTTTTTCAGATTGATTTTGATATTGCCGCTTACAGCGTCTACTTTATTGTGCACCCCACACTCATCCTGTGAGCGGTAGCGCAAAAGGATTACAGAGTAGAGTTTACAACGGGTCATAATAATTAACCCCCGTTGTCAGGATATTATGACACTGAATGTTACACAGTATTTCAATTACATTATTTGTTTAGTTTTATACATAAAGGGTAACTTATTCACAAATGCGTGAGTACAGGCGTGTGAGGCAGTATGTCTGGCCTCACACTTTGTTATTCACATTTACGTGAGAAGTATTCAAGCACATTGTGTATTTGGTACATGAGAACTGATATAGTTACTAAGTGCAAAAAAGTGGATACAATCTTAATATGTCGGCTATCTTGCCATTAGAGATGAAATGTTGTGCCATTTCATACACAGTGTGCTTGGACCTGTCCCTAAAAGGTTCTATCTTCACACAGTCGAGGACGTAGTGTTCAAGTGTGTGGCCATATGTCTGACCACACACTTTACATTTAGTCTTGTTTACATCTGCTTGAGGAACATACTGCCAGAGGTACTTACAGTCTGCGCAGATTGTGAGATCGTATGCTGAAAAAATATGCATATTTACGATTATGTTGTATAAATAAAGTCAAGTAACACTTACCACTTCTATTAATGCTTTGTAGTGTTTCCTCTGTGCTTCAGACAGTCTTTTAGCCTTCGAGGAACACTGTCAGCAAGGTTTTGCAAGAGGTCAGGTGGCAAGTTAGCCCAGGTATCCTTGATGGCTGCCTCTAGCTTCGGGATTGATGATGTGTCAGCGTCGCGCAGACGACACTTAACAATGGACCACAAATTTTCTATTGGGTTAAGATCTGGGCTACTGCCAGGCCAGTCATTACAGAAAGGTACCTCACAGTCTTTGAGCCACTGTATGACACTTTTAGCAGTGTGGCATGGGGCACCGTCCTGCATGAAAAGGTTTGCCTTAGCTTTATCAAATGATTCCGGAAAGAAATCACTGAGCAGTTCAAGTTAGTTGTTCTGATTCATCATCTGGTTCTTAGGGAGGATTACTAGTTCACCAACACCATAATACGTAAAGGAAGCCCAAACCATAAGCGAGGCAGGGTGCTTACCAGTCTTTACAGTGTACTATGGGAGGTGTGCGTCTGAGTGGGGCGGGCGGTACACCCTCCCATTACTACCAGCCACAGAAAACGTGGCCTAATCCGACCATAATATACTCCTCCACGTCTCTAAATCCCACACTTCGTATTCCTTGCAAAATTTCACTCTATTTTCCTTCTGTCTCTTTGTCAACAGAGGTTTACGGCAGGCACGAAAGCTCTTAAATCCCAGGTCATCGTGCAGGGCTTGTTGAACACAACGTAACGAGACGTGACTCATAAGACGGTTTTCTCTCTTTCACTTCACGTGCTGTGAGTGAGGGATTGGACCGAACTTGTCGAGAAATATCCTTAAGTGTCCGTGGAGACAATAATTTAGGCCTACCAGACTTAGGTAATGGAGCTGGGAACTCCTCCTCTCCAAGGTCACGGAAACGTTTGACAAGATTTTGAACAACTCGTAATGCCACACCAGTCTGAGCCGAAATTTCTCTCAGTACATGGTTCGCTTTGTACAATGCAATCACTGCTGCAATATCGTCTCTTGTAGTAACCATCCTGGACATCTCTGATGGCCACTATGTCGGGTTAATGCACCTTAAACTAGACAAAACACGGTCACATGGCGAGGGAACCCGCACAATAAATCTTCCCCTCACAGTTGCCAGAGGCGCACCGACTACAAACCGTGATGTGTGCTCAGTTGCCAAATGTCACCACTTGCCAGCAAACCAAGCGTTTTGACATCTCCCATCCCAGGACAGCCTTCACGACATATGATCTTATTTTTGCGAGAACTTAGTTCATCGGCCCTATCGCGATTTAATATTCCGCACAGACTGTGTATCCTAACCTTAATCTAGCGGCTACAACATCTTGTAATCTAGTGATCTTGTTACTTGCTCCATATACACGTTTCACTTGATACATCTCATCATGGTAAACTAGTCTACTTGCGTCAAACTCATCAATGAGTTCTTTCCTAATTTCAGTTTTAAGGGTTCTTTTTGACAGACCCAAATTGTATTCAACGGTGTCTTTGTTAGACGCGAGTTTGGCGAGGGCATCAACTCTGTCATGTTTTATGAGGCCTATGTGAGAGGGGATCCACAACAGTTTGACCTTGACACCCCGGTCAACAAGGCACGCATATTTGTGTCTGGCTTCAGAGACAAGAGCGTGACAACCTGAGTCGAGGGTGTCAAGGGCAAGTCGTGAGGACAGAGAGTCAGTGATGATGAGACTGTCAGTGACATTGGTTTCAATGAATTTAATAGCTGTGAGTATGGCAACTAATTCAGTTTGTAGAGTGGATGCCCAGTTGTTAATTCTAACTCCTTTCTCAATTATATTACCGTCAGGTTGAGTCACAACAATAGCACTTCCAGCCCTCCCACAGGCGGTGTTAAGAGATCCATCAGTGTAGATGGTCTGTGTGATATTATCATCAGTCTGTAGAGTGTGTATGTGTTCAAGAGCTCTCAATTTGGCAGTGTTTTGGAGATAAATGCTTTGTATAATTAATTTTTTAGGCGGTTATGTCAGTATCGTGATATCGAAGGGAACTGTCCGCCAGGGTGGCAGGAAGCGCTGTTGTGTCTCAACTTTGTACAGGTGGTCTAGTCCAAACATCTTCATATGTGTAGCTGTAGTTTGGATCCATTTAGACTCACCGGTCCCATGGTTCACACATTCTAGCAATTTTAAGGAAACAATGTTATTAGGATCACCATGCAGAACCCTCAGGGCTATCATGAGGTTGACTTCAATTATTCTATCTTTAACACTGGTTATACCTAGTTCTTTCCTCATATTAAGTACTTTAGTGCTCATGGGACATCCTAGGATAATTCTGAGGGCTTTATTTTGCATTTTCTCGAGCTTGTCAATGCCTTTCCCGTCACGAAGGACCAGGGCTGGTGCGTGGTAATCTATCAGAGATCTTATATAGCCTAGGTACAGTGTTTTAACAATTCTAATATTAGCACCGAAATTTCGTTAACCGAGGGACCACTGTATTGATTTATCTGTACATGTAATTTGGAAATTTTGACATTCATACAGATTGGTTGGAGTAAGCACTACACTATGCAAGCTTCAAACATGTTCAACATAAACTCATCCTTGCATTAATATACTTTTATCTTAGACTTTCATATTGGCAAATATTAAACAAAGACACCAGGTATAGTACTGTATGTGAATCTCCTAGTGACTAATTTCACTAATGGTTGTAGGGTAAGTAAAGTGCATACTTATTGTGTTAAGATTAGCACAGAAGTTAATATACTGTACAGTACGATGCTCTGTCTCTCTGATAACATCTTTGTTATGGAATAATTATATGGATCATTGATTTTCAGGAAAACATTCGTGATGTCATTTTACAACAATTATTACGAGATATGAGATATGAACAAAACTTGGCACTACGCTGTGTATATGCTAATGAACTTCCACGTGTCTTGGCAGCTATGGGTATCTTTGCCATTAGGTATGTTTGTTTTTACAAACAAATAGTTTGATTGACAATCCAAAATGTCTGTCTGTTGGTCATGGAGACGTATCATTCTCATCAAAAGGATGGGCAACAGACAGACATTTTGGATTATTACTCAAGCCTTTTGCTATTCTGTGTCAATATACAGCACATAACTATACTGTATCAGTATGCAATATAGTTGTTCTTTATTTGAGGAGGCACCCGAGCTTTCTAACTATCCTGTACTTTTATTAATTTTATCACTGTAGTAGAGGATGTGAGTGGACGGTACAGGCATAGCTTCAAAGATACTGTAGAAATATCAATTATGAATTTTGGACTAAGATTTTAACAAATGTCTTTGGAAATACAGAAGATGAATGTATGATTTCTTTTATAATAGTGAATATTTAACAGACTGCAAATGAAGAGCTTCAGAATGTTTGTCTAGTGTGAATTCTAGTGATCTCGGGATAATGTGTGTTGGCAGATTTAGATAAGAGTAAAATATTTATTTTTACTTTATTGCAGATGGTCTCAAGACTTGATGGATGTATGCACAGACTATATAGCAACGTATGATGGAGCAACAGCTTCGAGCAGAATCAGTATTTTAAGGGTATGTAAAGACATACGTATGTACTCTGTTATCTGTATAAGTACAGTCATGCGCCGGTTAACATCTGTAAAGGCCTGGGGCTTAGGGATAGAAATCCCTTACCAGGCTAATCAGGATCTTAATAAAGGAAAGTCAAGGACCATGGTTTTCCGAGGAATAACAAACAACCGTTTGAGATTGGCATCTCTTTACTATAAAAATATAACACAAAACTCTGACACCACTCAACAAACATCAAATAATTACGGGAGTCAAACAAATAAGGCAGCCAACAGTTAATGGAGTCAAACAATTAAAGGAAGCAAACAAATGGAATCAAACAAATAATGGGAGTCAGCAATTAATGGATTCAAACAATTAAATGGAGTCAACAATTGATAGAATCGAACAATAAAGGGGAGTCAGCAATTAATAGAATCAAACAATTATAGAATCAAACCATGAACAAATATTTCCTACGGCAGTGGCCCTTGGGGAAGGTTCTGGAACACGGTGATGCACACTCAGGGTAGGGAAGCGTCCATTTACTCCACACTCAGCGACGTCTTGAAAAGGCAGGAGAACACCGGGGCACAGACGGAATGTGAGGAACTGACGGTCGGGGTATGCGGTAGTGGTAGATGACCAGAGAGTTGGCAGTTGATAGGTGAAGGTCTGGGAACACAGCCCACGAGTCCAGGACCTATGATGAGATCACAGCCAGAATTTGACGCGGGCCTCGGTGGGTTCAATTGACCGCATAAAGCGGGGTTACACTGTGTGTGTGTGTATATATATATATATATATATATATATATATATATATATATATATATATATATATATATATATATATATATATATATATATATATATATATATATATATATATATATTCATTAACGCGTTTTATCATATACGCGGTGCCTCGCCAGAGCTGAACTTTCACTTAACACGGATTTTTTCATCATATACGCGGTGAGTGTCCGGCTCGAGACGCTATTTTTAGATTTGCCCCACCCTCCACCCTGCCTGACTGCCTGTTTTAGCTCATAAAATTCATACAAATTACCCGGCCAGAATATAATTTACATTGCTGGAATTCTTATAATTTGGTGATCATTTTGAATATAAACATCATATATTTTGCATTAGACATACAAATTTTAGATAAAAAAATTTTCTGAGTAACTATGTTATCTTTTGTGCAAAATATATGACATTTATATTCAAAATATTCCTGGTCTTACAAGGAATCCAGCAATGTCAATTGTATTATCCTAACTTTAGTTTGAGGTATTATTTATTAAAATTTAGTGGTTTTCCCCCAAAAATTTCTCAGAGAGGGAAGAGCCGGCAGTGTAGTGTGAGAGGGGGAGGGAGTTGAGTCCATTATTTGAATGGACATTAACTTGGCGACTGTATTTCTCTATTTCTCTTAAGTATTAATTGTGTGCATGTACCATCATAAAATTAAGATGTTATTTTTACTACAACATAGTTATGTGTCTTCAAAAAGTGGAGTTTGGGGGTCGGGCCGGTTTCTATTGGAATTAATCCCATATGTTCTGTTGTTCACTTAACGCGGATTTCACTTAACACGGGACCCTCTGGGTTCTATTGACCGCGTTAAGTGGGGTACAACAATATATATATATATATATATATATATATATATATATATATATATATATATATATATATATATATATATATATATATATATATATATATATATATATATATATATATATATATATATATATATATATATATATCACAATGAAAAAAGTGGATAAGATAAATCTTGATAAAATCACGGGGAAAAGGGAGCACCTTAGCTAAGGTGCTCCGTTATATATATATATATATATATATATATATATATATATATATATATATATATATATATATATATATATTACTGTTGAAGTCTCTGGGACATTCACCATAGCAACACAGCCCTCCAGCTGGGATGCTGCCTTTCTGCCTCCCCTCAGCGCTTAGTGTCGTGGTAGGTGTACAGTATAATAATGCTTTTATAATGCTCCCCAATTAATGTTAATTTCTAAGGATATTATTTTATAAAGAAACATTAGTAAAGGCATAAAACTTTGATAATAAAAACTCAAAATGTACTTGAGTATATACTGTACAGTATATGGATACTGTGTTGCTCTCTCACTGTCAAGACTCTTCTAAATACTGTATCAACAAATGGTGTAGTGGATGTGAGTTGATGAGTAATGACTGAGTGACGGTGCATTTTCAGTTTGAGGACTAGCGTGTAGTAGAAAGGGAAATAACAGATAAAAGTATACTGTATACTGTACTGGTAAATCATAAGAGGAAAGAAGTACTCCGTGTTCACAGTGTGTGCATCAAGGTTTAGAGTTAATGATCTCGTCACCCATGTTACCAAAATAAAAAACATTATGTTGCACAGAAATGTGGAAATGGATTAAGATGTTAGTTTTATACTGTAAACTTAAATTTCTTTTTCACTCTCAAATGCCCTTTCATGCTTTGGCACAGAGTGACCGGAATTGAAACATTATAGAACTTTTATTGTCAATCATTCAATAAAGCTACCTTACCAGATGTGTTGTGCTAGTATTCCCTTTCCACAACACAGCCCCTATATTTTCATCCTTTTTATAAATCACTTCATACAACCCAGCTTCGCCATGTTTACATAACCCCAAATTTTCCTTAGGCCCTCCAAGTGTATGTTCAAGAATGTTGGCCCCAGGTTCACATTGATGCTTCGTCCATGATGCAGATGGTTGTGCGTTTGCTGTATGATGTAACTGATGAGGATTCAGATTACAGTCCTCAGGTAAGATTATGTGTAATCTTCATACTTTGTTAAAAATTTTCTACTAGTTGATGATCATGCATATTGCAATTTAGCTTCACTTTGCAGATTAATAGGTATTTTAAGAAATATGTATAACTACATGGATTAGATATACTGTACAGTAGATGTATTTGAGTTCAGCAAGTGAGTTGGTAAGATGTCATTAAGTGGACATACTACGTATATGTGGTGACATTACTTTGTAGAGGAAATTGTGTTTGGAGCATCCTTTCACAAGATGTAGACAGTAAAATACTTTTAAGATACTAAAAAATAAAAATTTTTCTAGACTCTCCATAATGTCACACAAGAGGCTGGAATTTTAATCAGCTTCCTGCACTCAGCTGTTCCCAAGACTTGTCAAGAGTTATGTCAGGGATTAGGTGATATCCCGGTACACCCTCAGTGCCAACTGCTGCTCAAGAAGATATTCAGTCCCTTAATGAACTAATGGGAGGGTAATAATAAAGTTGGAGAACAACAAAGGCATTATTTTTCTGTAGATTTAATTTGCTTGCTTTTATTTTTTGAAGTGATTGAGAAAATGAAGAATGGAAAGGCTGCTGGTAGCTCTTTATTAGTTGCAGAAATGTTGAAATCACCCGACATTGTTGACATGATAGTGACCGAGTTGAATAATTGAATTATGATGGAATGTATTTCTCCAGTTGAATGGCTGAAGATCATGATTGTGAAAACTTACAAGGGAAAGGTGATGCACTGGAAAGAAACTGTGGGATAATCCCAGGAAGGAACATAATAGAGGCAATATTTATAGTTAGGGGTCGAGGAGTGTCTTCTTAATCCCCTTCACTACGGGACACAACTTTTAATATTGTATTTAGCTAACATAAGATGATTTCATTCAGCACAGGGGTCAAAGGGGTTATGGCTTTATATGTGGGTTCAGGGACTTCTGAGAGTAAATGGTGAGGAATTTAAAGTAAACAGGACTCTATCAAGGGTCTGTCTTTCGGACTGGTCTACTCTGGGAGTTGTTCTTTGTTGATGACATAAGTGTTGACAGCAGATAGTATTAAATAGGTGGTGGAGAGTTTTAAGACATGGTAGGATAAAATGCAGTCAAAGGGTATAAGAGTGAATCGGCAACAACATAAGTAATAATTAACACAATCATGGTTGTGGACGCAACTGATGTGTCTGAAAAGTATTCTACGCTCACAGTCTTGTACTCACTAGTTGCATCCTCATGATACAAATAATTGTATTAAAAAAAGCTGTCCACTATGGACGCACAAGTGATCGCGGGCCCTTCGTGCCCGGTAAAAGTTTGAACGCTCGTGCTTAGCTAGCGAGCAACCGCCGTCCGGCTGACAGAGTACAGCGACATTTTTTTCCAGCTTAAATAAAATGGTTAATTAATGCCTTCCTAAAGAAACCATCGACATGGGACCAGGTTTGTTCCACTCTACGAATTTTTTGCGATTTTTCCACCAAGTTTGATGAAAAACCTTTGTGCCGTTTCGGCTGCCCAGAACAGACACACTGCTATTCCTATAGTATATTAGATTACAGGTTGCGTCATGAAGATCCTTGGTAAATGTATCGAATCTCTGGCACCCTTTTGGGCTGTCCCCAGATAATTTTATTAAAATTCAGTCTGGTCTGTGTCCTTGAGCAATGGATGTTGTGAGCGTGTGGACATTTAAAGAATGTCACTTTTCCCTCCCTTAGATTATGTGTGTGTGTGTGAATATGGTTTACTGTGCATATTGTGGATAATTGCTGGGAGTATTTGGTGATATTTCCTTTAGTTTAGTAAATATTATAACTCATATTTTAAATAAACATTGTTCTCACAACTCATCATGCCTTATTGTCCCTTTCAAGTGCTGAAGAGCAATAAAAAAATTTAGTCTGCTTTAGTTCACACTGATAGGGGACTAGATACCTTTGAAAATGAAGATAGTGAGGGTTGTTGTGTGGAGTGAGTGAGGCTACAAATGGTAGCATCTCAAGACCATTCAGCACAGCAGTATTGGGTGTACTGTACTTCCCTCCCTCGCTTCCCACCACTGGTATACAGCGGTGAGTACTAATGTGTATATACTGTACAGTGTAAGGAAATACTTTAGTAAATAATTAATTACAACATAGTAAATATTGACTTTTATTTTTTTCTGGGTGGAGGATTATTGTGCTTTGGTGAAAAAGAAAAGAAATTGCTCGGTGGCCAATATCCCTAACCAGGAGGGGGTTTCTGGGTAGTGGGGATAAGGTACATAAGAGTGTTAATGGTGTGGATGTAGGGCCTGTGGTGAAAAGTGGAAAATAACCTAATGCTGTCAGTTTGGAAGGTGGGTACAGTCAGCCCAAAAATTTCTTGAATAGCTGGGCACAACAGATTTCAGAATGAGCACTATGGTGGCTAATGTCATCTCAGAATGGTTGGTATGCCTGTTTGTAAAGTGACTCAGTATTTCATAACAATATATTTTGCTCATCTTTTTAGTATTTACAGGTGAAAAGGAGATTTAATTTGCAATAAAGCTTCCCCAGAGAGCAATGTTCAGATTTCTCATTGATTTTGTTATATTGTATGACACTTAGTGCAATCAAGAACAATTTTGCTGACTGTACACAAGAGTTGCAGTGGTATAAGTGGTAAAGTGCGGGGTGCTACTGAATTCAATGTTCTGTACAGTGAGTTCTGCTATAACGCGTGTTTTGACAACTCGAATTGGCTCTAATGCGATTTATGAATAGAAAAACGATATTTGTAAAACGCGAACTCTTGTTTGCTGTAACGCGATTTTTGCTTACTATTTCTCCAATTTTGTGGTATTAACTGTGAATATGGTAAAGAAGAATATCTCCAAGAAGCGTTCTGGTGATCGCATTCCCAGTGATGATCGTAAAAGAAAGGCTATAACACTTGAAGAGAAGCTCGATGTTATCAACCTCAAAATCACCCTTCTCCCCAATCAAGTTATATTCATATTTTTTCAAGGTAAAGTGTTACATTTACTGTACGATTTCATTATATAGATAAGAATGTAACATTTATTTAGACTGTGCTATCCTTTGTGTTAGGCTAACTACGAAATTTTTTTCGATTTTGAGTAATCTGCACCTAACCCTATTTTCTCCATAAGCCCTGTTAATTCTATTGCGCGAATTTCTATTACACGATGTTTTACAAGAACACAACTATCGCTTTATAGCAGAACTGACTGTATGTGCAGGTAATCATGTGCCATTAGCTTAACTGGAAAAGCTCAACATTAGGGATATATCCCTGGACTTTGTCAATGATTTCTGCTACCTGGGTAACATGATTAATGCTGGAGGTGGTGCTGAAGCTAACTTTGTTGCAACAGTCAGAAGTGGCTGGAAAAAGTTTAAGGATCTCTTCCCTTTATTGATGGCAACAGGACATCTTTGCTTGAAAGGAAAGATTTATGTAGCCAGTTTAACCTCTTGTGTTCGGGGTCTCCTCTCTGCTGAATAAAATCATCTGATGCTACCCGAATAAAATATTAAAAGTGGTGTCCCCGTAGTGAAAGGAATAATAAGCATGTTGTTCTATGGCAGTGAAATATGGGCAGTTAAAGAGGATGACATACATAGCCTGAAGCAAACTGATATGAGATTGGTGAGATGGATTTACTGTATAATGTGGTGTTAAGAGTTAGGAAATCCTGTTCAAAGGTAAAGGGTTGGCTGGGTGTTAAGAGTATTGGTGAGGTGTTGCATAGAGGTAGGCTTAGGAGGTTCAGTCATGTAGAGAGCATGGATGAAACCATTGGGTTAAGAAATGCAAGAGTCTGAATGTGGAAAGAAAGAGAATTAAGATTAGGCCAAGAATGACGATAGGAGAGGTTAAAAAAAATCATCTTGGAGATGAGAACTGGATGAAAAAATGCTGTAAGGGACTTGCACATCCTGGAGAGCTGCCTACACATAATCATGATGGAGAACTTGGAAATTTCCAGTTTTTACAGTAAAACAATAAGATGTGTATAAATTTGACCAATGCTTCCCAAATTGAGGGAGGACTAGTTGATCTTTGAACCTCGTCCATGATCTTAACCTTTGACACAATGTTAAGATACAAAATTTTGCAATGTTATATTTGAAATCCTCAAATGGTTAAGAATCTCATATTAGACACAATACTGAATAAATCTATATATTGCCCTTACAGTATCAGAAAAATATTAACAATTATTTGAAGTTGCTTATTACAGCTTAACATAAATATTATACCTGTGTTGTGATGTTATGCTTTGAATGAAGAATTTAAAAACTCTGTGTTTGGGTACAGTTATAACACCTATATGCCAAAGCATAGGAACACCTTTTCTCTTTTACACTTAATTTAAAAAATCTTGTTTAGCCACAAAAACTACAGTAGCTTCAATAGCATCAATTTCCTTCGTCCAATAAAGCTGATACTGTATACAATTTACTGTACGCTACGTATATGCATTCCTATCCTTACACAGCTATTTGACACCTTATTACCTGTGGTTCTTTTAGAGGTGGTGGCTTCATATATCTTCTTCATCTTTAAGGTGTAAAAGCTAGCATGAGTATTATCAAAGGAATTACTAACCTACAACCCTCCTTCCCCCTTTTTTGGTGCTTCATAGTAAGCCTTATACTGTACTGTGTAATAAATATTTAAATTACATGTTAAGGCAAACAAAATACTAGTGTTATGCATGTAAGTTTTATATTATAAATGTTTAAATAACAGACTAGAAAAACACTGACATAAATAAAAATTACAGTTTAACATACAGTACATGGTAAAAATTAGTTACACAGCATCATTAATAACTAAGTACTATATCAGTATTGCCTGTCTAATTACAATGAAATCAGTGATATCTGTGTATTCAGTACAGCACTAGCTACCAGTCTCTATCTGCAATAATTAACAATACAGTCTCGGTTTTCTTCACTGCCAAAACCTTTTTAAGTCTAGTCAAATTGCAGAGAAATATGAAAAATCAGCTTCACTAGTACACACTTGTCATAAAGAGAGAAATGTACTGTACATATTAAGACTAATGTGGTACACTTTGAAATTTGTATTTTAAAGTTGGCACATTAAGCTTTCATAATAAATACTGGTAATCATTGATTCAATGGTCCTATTAACAATAATGCTTGATTTATTTGGTCTTATTAACAACATTGAAGACAAATGTGACATAAAATGAAATTCAGCATAGACTTGCTGATCATAACTACTGTATTAGCAGTATAGTACAGTGTAATAAATATTAAGGGGGTAATGTCAATTGATCATAATTCACACAATGCTGTCTTTAGACCCTGTGTGGGCACAGTGTGTGTTTTTTTTTTTTTATGGGGATTAGCCCGCCCGGACACAGGTCACTGACCCACATCGGGGCCTGGGTGGCGAAAATGTAATAATAATAATAATAGTCATAATAATTCATAATAAATAAAATTTGATAAAACAAACAAAAATTAAATAATAAAATAATGATAATAATACAGTAACTGTAATAATAATATAAATAATAAAGAACTATAAATACAAAAATGAAAAAAAGATCAAAATTGAGAAACGATATATGGATGTTGTGTTGTCAATGGTAAGAGAAACAATTGAGACCCTGCAATTGTGTGTAAATGAAGCAGAAAGTCAGATCAGCAACCTGGGACTTGGTCACAATTTTCGTGATGCCATATGGCAGCAGGGTCTACCATTAGGCAACACATTATGCTTCCAATATCTTCCCAGGCAGTAGTACCTCCCTGTTTGGTAGCTACCTACTAAATGTTTGTCCTCAGCACCCTAGAGAAGGATGTTGAACACTGAATGCACTCAGCTGCCACATCCTAAAAACATATCAGGAATATCTTTACACATACAAGCTACAAAAAAACACTTGTGTCAACTTTAAACTGCTAATATGAACCCCTAACCAACAGTTCATGGCATACAATGAAAGTTCCATCACACAGCATTTTTAATACAGTTCAGTATGTTAAAAATTAGATTTAAACAAATTAGGCATTAATTTTGAATACAATAAGCAGTTTACAAACAGTAATGGGTTATTATACAGTACAGTACTGTACAGTGTTTTGCCTTACTTATATAAAAGTGTTTAGTAATGATGAATGAATTGGAAAATCACCTGCAGTTTTTTATTTGAATAAATTTCGAAATCTCTTATGAAGTTGCAAACATGCTATTGCCTTATATCACTACATGCTTCTGACAAATAAAAACAAACTATTATTGAACTGTCTGATTTTAGTACGTGAACCATTGAGTGCTGCCAAGAAAAAAAAAATGGAAATAGTGATGCTCTGTTAATTCATTCACGTTAAAATCCAACAGTTCAGTGATGGTTTGTTTTCATTTGCCAGAACCATTCAGTGGTAAACTGACGTTGTGTACTTCTGTTTCATATAGCCCCTGTAATTACCCAAACAAAAATTGCAGATTGTTTTCAAATCCATTTTTCCTCAACAAGTACTTTTAAACAAAATGATAAAATATTATTAATAAGACTACTTTGCTAGACATGAATTTTATCATGTACAATATATATTACACTGTACAGTATTGAACACAACAGTCCCAGTTATACTTGAGCTTCATCATACAGTACAGTATACCTATTCAACTTTACTATGCATGGAACTCAACAAGACTATACAGTATTCACTTTAAATTTAGGGTGACATCATACATTCTTTGTAAGAAAAAATAAAATGTGAGTACACTAAAGATTCCTTGAGCACAGTATAGTTCTTCCTTTTCAAAGATTACTAATTGGAATTCTGAATAAATAATCAGTCCATAGTAATGGTCACTTAAAACTAATATCTAAATTTTTGGTCTATGTAATTTTTACAATTTCCCCATGGCCTTTACCTAACGGTGCCAAGGGGGGAATTTTGGCTCTCACGCATGTCTTGGTCACGCTAGCCTCTGGGGGGCGTCTTTGGCAGGGGTCTACGTAACACGACCTTGCATGACTCAACACTTTAACTAACACATCTGGGTCACCTTCTGATGGGCCAGCCAAGAAATCACAGTAATAATCAGCACTATTCGGGAGCTCAACACAGCAGTGTAAATGGTCAACATGGAGAGTGTAGAAGCGGTTCAGACCCTCACGCTTCACACCAACCTTCTCAGCTAGTGTTCCTGTAACATGGACATCATCGATCCAAAAGTATGGCCACCTGTGAGACTCCTCCACAATGGCTCTGGCAGCATCAACAGTCATAGCATAGGCCCATCCAGACATGAACGGGGCATAGTATTTTTCTGGGTAGTCCTCCAGGCTCACATACCATTTGCTTTCTTTTTTTCGAACTGGTTTGGCTTCAACCTGCAGCAGTCCTAGAATCAGATTTTCTCTGTCCTCAAACCTATACTTGAGTCTGTCACGAAACTGGTACAGGTCAACAGCTATATCATCATCCATTTTTATAATATACTTTGTTTGTGGGCAATAATTTGTGGCCCACTGCAGTCCCATGATATGCTTGTAAGTAAGGTTGTGATAGTGTTCCTTGAAATTACCCTGTATTATATCATGATACTCCATGTTTTCTTTGTTTATGCTCCACTGTGGCGTCTTTTGGTATAACTTTTGATCTTGCCACTCTGCCCTTGCCAGTAGGAACACTCTACGCATTCCTAGGTCCCTTAGGTGTTCTGATGGAACATTCTGCCGCATTATGTCACGCTCTATGCTGTTAGCTGGGTGAGTGTGGATTATTACTGTTATAAAAACATCTTCTTTTCCACACACATCATTATTTATTATATATGTGAAGTCTGGCAAGTCCATTAGTGGAATGCGGGATGGATAAAGTGGATTGACACTGAGAGGAGATGGAGTGTTGACTGTGTGTGCAGTAAGAAGGTTTTGCCACATCCCCACCAGGAACATCACACCCACCACCATACTCAACACCACCATCAACCTGCCAGGCTGACACCATACTATCTGCCTCACCATCATGGCTATATACTGACACCTTAACTGCATTAATGTATTGCATAGTGCTCTCTGCATATACCTTGAAAACTGCATTATATTTTCACAACCTCATTTTGGATTTATCTTCATGACATACTGATGAATTACAGTCACTAAAATTCTCTTGTCATCTTATTTTCAGAGATATCCAACCTCACATATTACTGCTAAACTGTATACAGTACAGGTATTTCTAGAATTGCATTAACCACTAAAATTCACTCACTATTAACCACGAGCTGGTCGTCATATCCCTGTTTTTTATTAGATTCCAGGCGAGCATGTAAAGGGCCGAACAATCCATGCCATGTTAACTTCTAACACACAAGAGGCCAGCAAAATTTACATTTTGCAAATTAAGACTGGTTGACCTTGGAGTGGTGCACCCAAACGAAAGTTCTGGCAATCCACATTGCTCACATTTTCACGCATTTAGACTCTCACATTCAGTTTCTTGGTTTTTGGTCCCCACGAAACATTTGTAAGAGGGTATAAAAGTTTCTCAAGAATTAGGACGGCGTAACACAGGCCACAACAGAACACCTGCTGGAGCGTCACTATGGCAACGACTCCAACGCGGTAGACCAGCCACATCTCTCAAAGAAAATGGATACCACTGCTGAAATATTTACCAGGTAAACTAATATGTTTTTGCATTTTTTAAACTCTACTAAGCTTTTCTTTTGTGAAAGTTGTGAACTCTATACCAAAGATTGTTGTGATGACACCGAGAGCTCATTCAAGACCAGAATTGACTAACAATGGTATAAGTTCAGCAGACACATTCCGAGGCCAGTGCATGCCCAGTACTTCCCAACAGTGTATAACGTGACTGACCGCCCAAACGGTTAATAACAAGCCTATCAGCGGCGAAGATGATAAATAAAGTATACTTGGCTTGGGTCCACCATGCTGCCAGGCCACTTTGCTTCCAAAGAGCACTTGTCAGCTGTGTCCCTGCCTGCAGATTTTCTCACAAACTTTGACAAGCCCATAAAAAGTATTATCAATATCCAAGAGAAAAATCAAGTCAAACTGAGATGCAACACCAGTGAGTAATGGTGTGTGTGTGTGTGTGTGTGTGTCTCCACAACTTTATTCTTTACAAGAATGAGGTCACAAATAAGTAAATAAAATAATGCTTTTATCATAATTTCCACAAAATCACACAAATTATAAACACAACAACCAATTGATAGTCTAACTGCCTCGTTTAGAAATCTGCCCATTGATGAGGTCGGCAAGAAAACACCAGCAATTCAAAGTACATCGAATCAATTCCTTCACTGATTTTAAATAATTTAATATTAAATTAAGATTGAAGAATCCGCAAGTCCAGAAAACCGTGAGGGCAAACTTTTTCGGAGTGAGGGTTGTAAACTCTTGGAACAATCTGCCAGAGTGTTGTGACGGCACCGAATGTGAGCTCTTTCAAGACAAGACGTGACCAACACTGGAGCGGGTTCAGGGACTGTACTATCGTGGACAAAAGTTCGCTCCTTCCCAAACTGAAGCAGTATCGACCCGCACAGCACACCCGCACCAGATAACAATCAAGGTAAGTCAGCTCGGAGACTCATTCCCGGGTCTCAGTTTCACTACAGGGAGCGAACTTTGGTCCACGATAGTACATTCAGGAGTCGGTACATGACCAGTACTTGCCAACAGTGCGTGACAGAGACGTGACCGATCGCCCGGGCGGCTAACGAGCCAATCAGTGGTGAAGAGGATAAAAGTAAAAGTAAAAAGTATTATTTTCTCGTTGGTGGTTCAGTAATAATGTTTATATTTTCGTTAGTAAACTGTGATAAGGATGGTTCATTGTTCAGTATGGGAGAGTCGAAGCCTCATTCACACACTTCAAAGCCTCACAGTGAACTTGGGACATATGTTACGGGCAAGGAAAGTATATATTTTCTTTGGTTACTTTGGAACTAACGCACCCAGCCTGTCCCAGGCCCTATCTGCTGTTGGCTAACCGGTATTGCCCCTATTGATTATTGCTTCCTAATGGGTACTGCTGTTGCTGGGGGTCTATACAGTAGATGATGGGTATTGCTGGCTGACGGAGGGTACTCCATGCTGGCGGAAGTACTTCTTGATTACTGATGGAACTCCCTGCTGACGAATGATACTCCCTGCTTACGGAAGGTACTCCTTGCTGGCTGGTAAAGTTCCCTTCAAAACAGGTTCTTGTTTTGGTATTCCCATATATTTTTGGTGTACTTTACGTTAATTTACCTAAATACTGTCATCAGTTAAGTAGGCCTAAATGTTTATACAGGTGTCCAAGACAGAGTTAAAGTGGAGATTCATTTCTTAATCACCTTCCAATGAAATCCTTGTAGATTAATTGCCTTCTATAATGGAATAGTTGTCTCAATGTGCACAATTAACTTAGGTATTTTTGTTAAACATTTAATATACACTCAACATCAGTTAGGGAAATGATAAAAGTTTTGCTATGCTTTGAAATTGGGAGATTGGCCATGGCCTCCACAGGTTTGGTGTATGGAAATGATCACTAAACTTTATTGATTTTGCTGGAAGTGAAACACTGACCACTGCTGACTGAGTAATTAAAGATTTGTTCCTGGTAAAATTTAGTTATAATTTTTAACATGCTGAAGGTGCTGATGTAGTGCCACGGCCTATTGTGGTTTTCTTAGTAAGTTAAAGCAAGGGATTTCTAGTGTGCTAGTCAAGTTATTACTTTTGCTGATCGGCTCATTAGCTGCTTGGGCTGTCAGTCACGTCTGTTATGCATTGTTGGCAAGTACTGGGCATGCACCGGCTCCTTAATATATCTGAACCCGCGGTAAAATTGCAGTTTTATGCCAATATTCCCTAGTAGTGTATTTTGGTGTGACTTGATCGAATTTGACCTTTATTTCTGGGGGAAATACCCGTTTTAGAATCCCCCCCCCCAAAAAAAAAAAGTATGGAAAAAACTTTAAAATTAATTTCTGACGTTATTATTCTTTGCCCCCTGGTTGAAATGGGGTTAAAAATACTCCAAATAAGGAGATCTAAAGGTTGGAGATGGTTAAAACAGCCGGTCGAGTATTGGCCGAAACTGCAGTAATACCGAACCTGCTCCAGTGTTAGTCAAATCTGGTCTTGAAAGAGCTCACACTCGGTGCCGTCACAACACACTGCCAGGTTGTTCCAAAAGTTCACAATTCTCACTCCGAAAAAGTTTGCCTGCTACTCTAACATTCTCAAACTTGCTTACAGCTCTTGTAACTGCAGTTTAAATTTTTCCACAGCCTAAACAAGGTATCTCTGCCTCTCTTATCTCGGTTATATTTGCCAGATATCTAAAATAAATATTGTATCTAATTGAAAAACGAAGTCAAGTGACTGGATTCTTAATATTATCACTTCCTCAATAATATGGGATCTGGCAATACAGTCCGAATATGCAGTACTTTATTCTCAGATATTCTAACATGTAATGAACTTGTTATAACACCCAAAATTAGAAACACCAGGTTATAGTTCTCATTTGTATCAGTCTTGTTGAGCACTACTGTTGCCAACACACTCATCCAGCCATTGTTTTCTGGTCTTTTAAGCTTGTAATGACATGTGTTCAGCCATTACATTGACTAATTCATTTTCCCCTTTGTAATGCCTTCTTATAAGAAAACTCTTATCAAATGATGGGTGCAGTGATGCAAAAGTGACAGAATACTTGGATTTTTGCTATAATTTTGAAATAAAGGTACATTAAATATCAATGGTAAGTTTATGCAGGGCTGGGTTAAAAGCCTAATGGCCCATGGGCAAACTGATCCAAATAGACCTATACGGGTACAGTAGAAGTCCTAAAATCCGGACTGCTTGGGGATTGGGTCGGTCCGGATTTTCAGATTTTCCGGATTCTCAGGCAGTACTTTTAAAATTCAAATTTAAGGAGGAATAAAGAAGAGATGAACAGATACATTTTGATAGTTTATTCATTAGCAAATATAGCATGCTTCATTTATCAAAACGAGCAGTTTTAAAGAAAAAGCTGTGAATTCTAGAATTTTATTCTTTGCCTTTTTTATATCATAAGTTGTAGACTTTCCAATGTTGTATGTCTCCATTAGAACAGTATTGCTCACACCACGTTCTATTTTAATTATTTAAAGTTTGTCACTCAATTTCAACGTGTTCTTCTTTCTCTTCACACAATGAAGTTTATCTACTTTAGGAGCCATTATTATGGGCTCTGTAAATGGAAAGAGTAGGACTCAAAATTACATACGTTGTCACAGTTTGATTGCTTGTTTTAAAGTGGCGACCGCGTGGTCGCTTGTTGTCGCTGTGCAGCTGTGGCGCTCACGCATGCGCACATACACAAAAGCCAGCTAAAAAAAAAAAAAAAGTTTGAGTTTTCGAAAAGTTCGGATTCTTGGGTGGTCCGGATTTCTGGCATCCGGATTTTTGGACTTTTACTGTACTGTATTTATGTTTGTTCATGTTCATTACGTTATGTACAGTCCCCTTCACTAGTGTGTTTACAGGGGCTCATTAGGTTTTGTGCAGTGTGACAGCCCTGTGTTTGTTTACATTCAATAGAAAGAAACTCACAATAGTAAACAGGGCATGGAATCAAATTAAAACAATCTTAAAACAAATATCTCAATGTAATGATTAGTGGAATGTTTATATGACGAGCCCCTGTAAACACACTAGTGGAGGGGACTGTACAGGTTGGACCCCACTAATCCAGGACCTGATAGTCCGGCAGCTTTAATGGTTTGGGACGGTGTTTGAATCTGGCTGTCGTTAGTTTCCAAGGCCTATAATATACAATTTTCTTTTTGCTTTTTCTGCTAATCTACTTATGTCTGTGTCACAGTGCAGTAAACTTGTGCCTTAGCACTTAACACTTTGTCATAAAGAGGTCCAGTAGGCCTGGGCTAGATTTATGCTGATGTAAGTTGTACTTTTATTTTTATCCTCTTACCACTGATCGGCTCGTTGGCCGCTTGGGCGATCGGTTACAAAAACCGTCTCTGTTACGCACTGTTGGCAAATACTGGGCATGCAGTGGCTCCTGAATGTATCTGAACCTGCTCCAGTGCTTGTCAAGTCTGGTCTTGAAAGAGCTCACACTCGGTGCCGTCACAACACTTTCTGGTAGATTGTTCCAAAGAGTTCACAACTCTCACTCCGAAAAAGTTAACCCTCACAGTTTTCTGGGCTTGTGGCTTCGTCAACCTTGAGCTGTGACCCCTTGTGGGGCGAGCGTCCGCCAGCTCCAGGTAAGGGCACTCGACTGAGTAGTGCCCTTTGAGATGCTTGTACACCTCAATTAGATCTCTCCTTGCCCGTCTGTAGTATAAGCTAGGCAATTTTAGGTGCTCTAATCTCTCAGGGTAGCTGAGGTGCCGCAGTGATTGATACAAGTAATAGTACATTTTATGCATTATTTTGCCATTTTTTTAACCTCGACTTCGATGGGTTTTTTATTTTCGCTGATCCGGAACCAGTCTGATCCCAAACTTCCTGGGTTAGCGAGGTCCAACCTGTACAGTACACAATTTGATTCTGAGTATGAAAGCCTTTATTCTGTATCACTTATGTACGTATACAGT